TGTGTGTGTGTGTGTGTGTGTGTGTGTGTGTGTGTGTGTGTGTGTGTATCTCAGAGTGTGTCACATGTGGAGGTCAGAGGTCACCCTTGGATTCTGCTCCTCAGAAGACAGGCTTGGTCTCTGGGACTGGGGCTTGCAGATCAGGCAGTGCTAGCTGGTCAGAGTTCTAGGGATCCTTCTGTCTTCGCTCTCCAAGCACTGAGATTCTAAGTGTGTCCCGCCACAGCAGGCTTTTTGTGTGGATGCCAGGGATCAAACACAGGTTGTCATGCGTATGTACCAATCCTTAGAAAAGTACCAGCTTCCTAGATCCTCAATTTTAACACTGATTCATTAAAATTTTTGGACTCTGAAATTTCTAAGCCAAGTCTCTCTCAACCTCTCCTCCTTCCTTCTCTCTCTCTCTCTCTGTGTCTCTGTCTCTCTTTCTTGAGATAGTGTTTCTCAATGTAGTCCTCCTGCTTGTCCTGGCTCTCTCAGTATACTGGGCTGGCCTTGAATTCAAGAGCTATCCACTTGCATCTGCCTCCTGAGTGTTGGGATTAAAGGTGTGTACTCTCACTGCCTGGCTGAAAAAAACAAGAGGTTTTGTTTTGTTTTGGTTTGGTTTTGGTTTTTCGAGACAGGGTTTCTCTGTATAGCCCTGGCTGTCCTGGAACTCACTCTGTAGACCAGGCTAGCCTCAAACTCAGAAATCCACCTGCCTCTGCCTCCCAAGTGCTGGGTTTAAAGGCATGTGCCACCACTGCCCGGCAAAACAAGAGATTTTTAAACAAACAGTACTAACTGGCTGTGAACTTCTAGGGGTGACCTAGGCTGGAATAGCTGAGCAAAAGGTAACAGCAAGCCTGAGTCTGTATGTAATGGAAATCTCTCACAGAATCTGCCTGCACAGATAGAGACTTGTATTTTGAAGAGGAGGTAACGAATCGAAAGGGAAGACTCTTGTGGTGCTGGTCTGATGTCCAGCTTAACCAGCATCTCAAGGGGCCATTTCTTGAAAAGGGGCATATGTAAGTTTTCATTAGGGCTGGATGGCTTTGGTTTCTCTTTAGGATGAAAGCTCTGCATTTTGGACAGCAAGGAACACATTATACACCTAGGGTCAGGTGAAGAAAGAAAAACAATGTCACTATGTCCAACCTGGAAGTATTGATTGTTCTACTTGGTAACCCTCTGCCCTGCTCATACAATGATGGAGAATGGGTTCTGGTTCAGTTCCAGGGTTCAGCCCAACCCCAAAATAACATGTTCCAAAACAACCTACCTGCCAGAGCAAGAAGTCACTCAGGCGCACTTCCCCAGAAGTCCGAATCAAGATGTCGGGATGAGGAGAGTGGTTGCTATAGAGGCACTTATCAAGCAGAGACTCGGAGACATCACTAGGTGGGCAGGAGATAGAAGCACACGTCTCTCTGTGGTACTTGCTCTGTGAACTTCCATCCACAGCCTCCCCGCTGGTGATTAGCCACCATCAAATACATTTGCCAGTATATCTCCAACCCAAGAATGACTTTAAATCTGCAAACCACATACAATGCTTGTTCTTCCTCCAGGGCCTTGACCATGCTAGCCAGGCAAGTACTAGCACATACTGCATCATTCAAAGCCCTATGGAGGGGGTCTGTAACCCGCTATGGATACAGAAGAGGGAAGCTAAGATGACATCAATAATTTACCCAATCACATTTGCCTACAGGCCTAGGACCAGATGTGTCACTAGACTGTGTCTCTTCATTTGACTTGTTCTGCCTATGCCCTGGCAGTGTGATCAAACACCCTGGAACTGATTTTCTTTCTTCGTTTTTAAAAAAAAATTTAAAGATGGGGATGTGGCTTAGTGGTAGTGTATGTACCTAAAAGGCATGAGGCCCTGAGTTTAATCCCCAGAATTGCAAAGACAATTAGATCTGAAAACAACAAAAATACGACAAAAAGATGAATCTAAATGAAATACACTGGTTTGGAAGACTTCCAAGACCCACTGTTACATGAAAAAAGTAAAGTTCAGAAAACACATTATGAAAAATATATACAAATCTTATAGTCACACATTAGTTATGTGAAGGGAGTATGATAACCACTGTATTATAAAAACATTATATATGCCTATGTATACATATATATACACACACACACACACATATATATACACATATATGTATATGTATGTACAACAATGAAGTTGAGAAAGCCACACAACAGTTTTCAACAGTGAGTTGGTCAAGAAGGAAGGAAGGACTTTTGTCTATTTAGTGATTTATGTTGTTGAACTCCAGGGCTCACGCACACAATGGACCACTCAGTCTACCTCTAAATCCCAGGATTTAATAAAAAGAACCTGGGCTGGCAAGAAAGATGGTTCAGTGGGTAAAGCTGTTTGCCACCCAAGCCTTCTCTCAAATCCACGTAAAAGTAGAAAGAGAGAACCCACTCCACGGGGTTGTCCTCTGACGTCCACAGGTGTACTATGGCATATCTGCTCCCAGCCACAACAAAAAAATCAATATACAAAAAAGAAGAATGAAAGCATGAATACCTGGAGTGAGTGTTCAAAGCCAGGTACCCGAGTTTGGAGGCTTTGGCAAGAGGATCAGGAGTTCAGGGCCAGCCTGGGCTATGCAGGAAAACACAATCTCAAAAAAAAAAAAAATCACAGAATGAGGTTTAAAAACAAAGAAAAGAAAGATAAACATACTTATTAGCTAGGGTGCTTTGGGCATGTGCCTTGATTTTTTAATTACTGTTTTTCAAACCACAGAAGATGTATTTTCTGTATAATTATACAGCAAACAATATTTGCTCATGACTGGGTAAGAGAAGGGTTCTGGGTTCAGACTGCCCTGCAATCACACACTCTTGTCTTGACTGCACGGTCCTAATTCCCTGACAAAAGTATTTAAGACCAGTCCAATCCGCCCGAGCGCTCAACTCCCTATCTACCACACGGTTAGACTGAGAGTCAAATCAAATCAAACGGCATATCCGGGTGCACTGTGGAACTATGAAATGCCCAAACACACAAAGGCTAACAAGGCCATCTAAGCAAACAAGGGATAAACGACAGTATTAACAGTGACACTATCTCTCATCTCACTGCCTGGTCCTCTAGACTACGGATGTCCACTTAGAGTCCGAGTTGTAAGTTTCTGAGGGCTTTCTGCTGCCTGCTTCAGGCTGTGGGCAGAACGTAAACAGAAAAGGAGGGGACAGTAAGGGAAAGATAAAAGTGACAAAAGGAAGCCAAGGATCTACTGATTATGGTTAAGAAAACCCCAACACTAACTATTGCTGTCATGAAGACTGCTCAGAAACTACTTAGAAAACAGAAACCATGTAAGAAACCATGGGGCATGGAATGGTAGAGCGTGTGCCTACCATGTTTCCGGTTGTAGATCTGACTCCCCACCACTAGGAAGAAGAAAAGGAAAAGAAAAAGAAATCTTGACAGTCCTGGTAATAATACTATGAGTGGACGCCACTAGATCCCGCTCCAGAGGGCAGGATCGCAGATGCGGACGACTTAAGTTCAAGGAGCTCGCCATTCGTATTAATGAGAAACTGGAATGAGCTTAAATATAGAAGAAACACGAAGGTATGTAGGTAAACTAAGATACATTTGTCAATGCTGCTTTCAGCTAGTGAAAATGCACTGAAGATGTAGTGACAAGAGTCGTAAAGCTCAGGACATGACAAGTGTCCTGTTACAACATGAATGGAGGAGCAAACCAGCATTCAGGGTCTCAACTCCTCAGTGAGATTTCCAGTTACAAATATTTACATTGTGATATTTTTATAGATTTATTATTTTTAAAAGAATTACTTTATTTTTCAAAAAGATCTACCTGTTTGTTTATTTTTGGTTTTTCGAGACAGGGTTTCTCTGTGCAGCCCTGGCTGTCCTGGAACTCACTCTGTAGACCAGGCTGGCCTCGAACTCAGAAATCCGCCTGCCCCTGCCTCCTGAGTGCTGAGATTAAAGGCGTGCGCCACCACCGCCTGGCAGAATGTATGTATGTGTTGAGTATTTGACTGCACGCATGTATGTGGGCTATGTGCTTGGCTTGTGCCTGTGGATGACAGAAGAGGGTGCTAGAGCTCCTAGAACTGGATTTACAGTTGCCATGCGGGTACCGGTAACTCAGCCCATTTATTCCTTTGCTTTGTGTATGTGGATGTGCATATGCCACAGCATGCATACAGAGGTCAAAGGACACCTTTGAGGAGCTGGTTCTCTCCCTCCACCATACAGGTTCAGGGGATTAAACTCAAGTCACTAGGCTTGGTAGCAAGCACCTGCTACGCCATCTTGCTGGCCCTAATTTTTTACTTTTCAACACAGTACTTACAATGAAACCTAAGGTCTTTTGTATGATGGGGAAATGCTCTACCACTCGTCTATTACCCCAGTATCCACAATCCCTTTAACAAAAAGATTAAGGGCCAGAGAGGAGGTCAGATGTGCTAAAACTGAAGTTACAGATGCCCGTGAACCGTCACATAGGTGCTGGGAACCAGATTCATGTTCTTTGCAAATAGCAGCAAGTGCTCTTAACTTCTGAGCCATCTCTCCAGGACTCTAAGCGCTATTTTTGGACAGGGCCTTGCCCTGTAGCTCAGGCTGGGATCAGACTCAAAGTAGTCCTCTGGACCCATCCTCCTGAGTGCTCAGATTACAGGCATGCAATACCACATCTGGATACTTGCTAACTTTTTAAGTTATATTTATTTTATGTGTATGGATGTTTTGCCTACATGTATATATGTGTACCATCTCACACCTGGTACCGGAGGAAATCACAAGAAGGGACTGGATCCCCTGGAGCTAGAGTTGCAGATGGTTATGAATCACTATGTGGGTGCTAAGAATTAAACCAGAGTCTCCTACAAGAACAGCCAGTGCTCTTAACTGCTGAGACATCTCTCCAGCCCCGTCAGCTGCTTTTATGTTAGATCCCTTTGTCTATTTCAGCCTTCCTATGTGGTAGTCAATATACCAATCTCAAGTGACACTAGGCCAACTATGTAAATTAAATTTAGGTAAATTACTATGTCCCATTTCTGTAGTCTCATCTTTAAAATGAAGAGAAGAGCTAGTATGTGACGGTGCTTGTTGATGTTTCGGGGCTGGATCTCCAGAAGACAGTGAAAACTGGATGCAGTTAAGTGAAGTGTTTATAATCCCAAAGTGCCTGTATGCGGAGAGGCAAACACAGGAGAACCTCCAGAAGTTGGAGGCCAGTTAGCTTGGCTTACACAGCAGCAAAGAGACTCTGTCTCAAATGAGGTGGAAGGGTAAGACACCACACCTGAAGCCTACCCTCTGACCTTCAGTTGTACACGGTGGCATGCACAAACCTGCACCCACACACATAAACTAAACAAAGAAATTAAATGAAGATAAAACCAACTTGTACATTATAGGGTGAGGAGGTATAAGTATCTGAGAGCTGGGAAGTGTGCCAACAGCTGCAACTGCAGCACTATTTAGCTGAAGGAGGATTAAGACTTTGAGGTTAGTGGCCATCTCAAGTACACATGCATTAAAACTGAACAATATAGCAAGTCTGCATGGCCCTGTGCTTACTTAGTAAATGCTCCCAATTATTCTCTATGACACAGAAGACAGGACTACAGGAGGCCACACAGCCTATTCAAAGGAATGCACTGACAGGTTCTAACCAGCCTTGAGGGTCAACCTTATTTCTTCTCTAATTCCAGGCTCCCAAACAACCTATTAATTTTATTTCTAGGGGGGAAAAAAAAAGCCCTTATCCTAAAGAAAGAGAAATGGAGTCAGATGGTGGTGTCAAGAGAACAGAAATCTAGTTACTTGGTTAAGGCAAATTCTAATAACCTTGATACAGACGTAATACAGAGTACAGCCTAGGTCCCAAGGAGCTCAGTATGCTCTGAGAGTCAAGCTGCAGGGGGCGCTGTGGACCCTGGTGATTCTATCATGTGGACATGAGAGCCCCACAGGCAGATTATAAATGGCCGTCAGGAAGATGGATAGGAAACACTTCCTGGAAGGGAGCAAGATGTAAGGTCAGTAGATACGAAGCTAGGGTGAGGTTAAAGCATGCTATATTAGGAGTCAGATCAGAGTTCCCAGGAGCTAATCTGTGTTAAATCTGCTTGCTTTTTTTTTTTTTTTTTTGGTTTTTTGAGACGGGGTTTCTCTGTGTAGCCCTGGCTGTCCTGGAAAACTCACTCTGTAGACCAGGCTGGCCTTGAACTCAGAAATCCGCCTGCCTCTGCCTCCCAAGTGCTGGGATTAAAGGCGTGCGCCACCAACGCCCGGCAGCAAATCTGCTTGCTAAATTAGAGGATTCTTTCTAGCATAAATATTTTCCATCATTAGTTCAATTATTATTCCATATATACAAGACTACTCAAACATTAATTATAAACCATAATATAACAAACAACTATGAAATTACTCCCAAGCTAATTACCATTAACTTGCACTTGCATATATATGTTTGCACGTTTCTGTCTTTCCCTGAGGCTAGGCAGCACTAGAGAGTGTACCCAAGGCCTTGCACATGCTGGGCCCATACACACGTTCCCCTTCTGCCTTGACCACGTGACTGCCTCCTATCCCTCTGCCCTTAGCCAGCACCGGAGTTTTCCCTAACAGCCAAGTTACAATCTGTAACTTCATATAACCTTCTAGAGCAACTACTGTGCCAACACCCGTCCACCTCCTCCTCAATGGGTACCAACAAATTCCCTCCTTTGTGTTCTGCAACACAGACTGTCTGCTTAAAGGGTCAATCTGTCTAATGGTCACCAGGACAGTTTCTCAGAGCTCACCCTTGCTCATCTAGTCACAGGACTCTCTCCAGGTCCCTCATGCCTGCCTCAGTCCAGCACCCTACAGATGACCTTCCTCCTGGAGCCTACAGTACTGACCCCCCTGGACTACCTTTCCAACATCTCTGTTCTATGACGAGCCCTGAGGCAAACTTCCCTCTTCCTTAAATGGGATCCTCCTGTCTAGGGTTCTCTAGAACAGTGGAGGGCACCAACGTCCACCGCTGAAATCCATGGGCACAACATCCCGGGTAATAGAGCCTTTCTGCACAATCAGTCCACTCGTCCTCCCAGCCCTTCTCTTCCCAGTGCAGGCTGTTTTGTCCACTCCAGCACCACTACAATCCAGGCTCCCTTCCAATGGAGCCTGCTACTGAGCAGTAAAAGCAAGACCACGTCATAGTCCTGCCTTGTCCCCAAGTCACAGCTGCTTCTTCTTGCCGTCACCTATCATTTACAGTGGAAGGTACTCTCTACCAAGTCCAATCCTCTTGTCATAAACTTGCACCAGTGCCTTTATGATATGTATCACTATTACGAGTTTTTGCTAATTTGTCTCTTGATTAATGTCTGTTTCCTTTACCAGAGCCCCAAAACACAGAAAGTAGATCTTTAGGCTCACCAGTATAGTCCCTATACAGAGCAATGTGCTTCCCTAGAGATGTTACTAACTAGCTAACTAGCTAACTAGCTAACTAACTAACTAACTAAAAGGGTTAACCAGGCATAGTGAAATACATCCTTAATCCTGGCACAGGAGATAGAGATAGGCAGAGCTCCATGAGTTCAAGGCCAGCCTGGGCTACATAGTGAAACCTTATCTCAAACAAACAGGTTGAGACCCCAAAGCTACTAAACACATGAGTCTAAAGAGCAGAGAAAGACCCCCCCTCTGCTGGAGAGGAGCACTCACACACAGCTGTAAGCAGTCTTAGGGGTCGTCAGTGGGGTGATCTGCAGGTAACAAGGCGTTCCATCCAGGAGGATGACGGCCTGAATGCCATTCCTACGACCCATGTGGTGGGAGGAGATAACAACTCCTAACTGTCCCTGGACTTCCAGAAGCACTCTGTGGCATATGTATGCCCATCTCCCCACTCAATAAATATACAAATAAAATAAATGTAAATGAGAAGGGAGATAAAGTATTTAAAACAGAATTCTTCCTGGTGGTACACATCTTCAATCTCAGCATTCAGAAGGTGAGTTCATGGTCTAAATAGCAAGTTCCAACCAACCAGGGATCCACCTGCAGTGAGACCCTGGATGAGAACAGGAAGAGAGAAAACAGTGCTTTCTGGGGCTGAGCGACGGTTCTGGAATCAAGAGTGATTGCTGTTCCTACAGACACTGAGCTCCTCATTTTCCAGCGCCATCATCATCAAGCATCGTGAGCTCCTGCGCACCCCCAACACACACACACACACACACACACACGTCTTTTTTTTTTTTTTGATAACTGCTCTTTTTTTGTTGTTGTTGTTTGTTTTTTTTTTTTTTTTTTTGGTTTTGGTTTTTTCGAGACAGGGTTTCTTTGTGTAGCCCTGGCTGTCCTGGAACTCACTCTGTAGACCAGGCTGGCTTCGAACTCTCGAACTCACGAACTCAGAAATCCGCCTGCCTCTGCCTCCCAAGTGCTGGGATTAAAGGCATGTGCCACCACTAACGTCTTTAAAAACAATACAGTACTTCCTTTCTGGGTGTTAGTTATTGGGGAGGGGGACTGTGTTCTCCTTGGGCTTCTGCTTTCCTTTCATGCCCCTGGAGATCACACCCAAGCACTCACACTTACTAAGCAAGTGCTCCGCAGCTGAGCTCATGTGACCAACCACACATTCTATTGTGTTTTGAGACAGGGGATCCACTATGTTGCTCAGGCTGTTCCCACACTTACAAGTATCCTAAGTAGGTGGAATTACAGGTGTGTGCCACCATGCCCAGCTCAATTTCTTGATTTTTAGTTTCCAGCCAATCATACTATACTAAAAAGAGAAATCAAAAACTTTCCCGCATCCCAAGCTCTCATATAATAAAAATGAAAGACAAAGCCTCTGGATTGCTTTAGAGTCCTACTTTTATCTTACTAGCAGACCGACTGTGGACAGGTTATCCTCAATTTCCACATTTATAAACTGAAAAGAAGGCAAGACTCTCTCACACGAGGTTAGGAAGAGTAAAACAGGTAACACACCGCATTGTCCAACTACGTCTGCTACCATTATTTCACCATCACGATTATTAATTTACGAATAGCGACAAAGATTATATTAGTAACAGCATTAGAAGAGCCAAATAGACAGATGGCTTCAAAAATTCCTCCATTCCTCTAAGCCTTAATTATTAGGATTGCCCTTGCTTTCTTCCCTCCGTCCTCTCTCCATCCACCCCTCACAACACCTTAATCCTGGGTTATGAAATTGCAATTTGAGAAACCCAAAAGATTCTCCTCCACAACAAACATAAAAGTAATTACTGAAAGAAATGTGCACAGAGGGGGCCCCTTCTCATTGGACAGGCCGGCGTGTGTGTGGTGTACTCAGATGACAACCCCCTACGCCCCCCATTTAGGGGAAGTCCCCTAACTATTTCCTATGTACACCCTTGATTTGAGTTCTGGCCAAGTGCACGGCGCAGCAAGGTTTGGACACTAGTTCTTTCTGTCTTCAGTACCAGTTACCAGGAGAGACACCCCAGATACCTGGGTTCCAGCAGGCCTTGCTCCACGCCCCAGGCCATCTCTCTCACAGCATTGGTGATCTCATGACGCGATGTGTATGCAAAGCAGACATTGAGGAAACACCTGAGGATGGCAGAGCAGAATAATTCACCAAAGAGAGACAGGGTCTGACGGCCGGAGTCTGAATCCGGAGCCGCCATTCCCTGGAAGGACATGGGCACTTTCCTGTTGAAGTATAAGACTGTGGGCAGTTTCATGATTTCTAATAGTTCTTGGAATAAGCATATTCTTCATCTAATTAGATCAACCATAAACGACCTTTATTGCCTTCCTAACCACCTCCACTCCTCCACCGCCATTACTGTCAACCAGTCCACAGAGGAAGGAGATCCTCTGTGATATTACCTAAGCATAGAGGAGACCAGATGTAAGGTAATCAATGGCCGACACTACTGCTCCAAAGCCACACGGTGGAGTGTGCATTCCTGAACTTGGTCCTCTAAATCTGCCCATGGGCCAAAGAGTGGGTCAGAAAAGATTCTTGAAAGACATGTAGACAGGGTTAGGACTGTTGGATTTCTTCTTATTATTATTTTTAATTTTGGAGGCAAGTCAGCCTCCAGCTAATTTTGTAGCTTAAGTCAGCCTCAAACTCACTGAGATATGCCTGTTCCTGCCTATCTAGTGTCGGAATTAAGGGTATGTACTACCACACCAGCCTAAGACTAAAGAACATCCATCCCGACACTTGTCAAGTTCAAGCAGATGTGTGTGTGGGTGTCTGTGGGCATGTGACCACATTTATAGTTCCCAAACACACTGTGGTGGGGGGGGGCAAGTGACGAGGGACTGGGTTTGCATGTGAATGAATGGAAAGGCAGCTGGTCTCCCCCACAGGTCAAAGTCTCTAAGCAGCACAAACTACTTTCTCAACAACCTGGTATGGAGTACAGACCTCGGACGCTCTGGGTGCCTCTCTTAAGAAACAACCTGAGAACTTACTTGTTGTAGTTCTTAGTAGCCTGGACAGCATGTGCGATCTTCGCCTGGAGGTCCAAGGGCAGCAGATGCAGATCGCCCAAGACCCGGATGCACACGCCATGCTTCTGCAGCTTCTCCCTGATAAGGGAGAAAGGAGGCTCCGCTGTCACGGGGCAACTGCCGAGCAGAACACAGGCACTGGGCTAAGAACCAACCACAAACCTGTCGCCTGTGCCAGGCACTGTTGTGTGTGTGCAACTCCAGAACCGTGTCAACACTCTGAGAGGTACCCAGTACTGCACTGAGGCTCTGCTAAGACTGGCCCAAGGTCATTTCTTGTGTCACGTCTGGCTTGAACCAGATCTGTCTGCCTTGAGAAAACAAACTCTTGGCCACACACTACTACCTCAGGTGTCCTTGGGAGAGTTGCATTTTACATATCTGTGATTTCTGTCCCAACTGAGTAAGTCAGTAAATTGCTCCAGAGCAGGAACTGTGTTATTGGTGACATTTGTTACACTCTTGTGCAATAAGAGACCAATGACAGCAGAGTAGGCGTGTGTACCATTAGACGGTGGGTGACATACTCTAGTCCAGTCATCGAGTTCCTCTGAGGCTCAGACCGTAAGTTCCCCTCTGCATCCCAAGAGCCTGAGGTCCAGAAAGATCAGAATGTTGAGCAGTCTGGATGGATGGATGGATGGATGGACGGACAGCCGGGTCTCTGCCTGGAGTTTGGTTCTAGGGTCTGACCACACCCTCACTCACAGTGCACCCACACAGTGGCTCCCACGCGGTGAGTACTCACTGTTTCCACATAGCCTCTCTCACTGGGAATGCACTGGGAAGCTGGTGTGTTATACTGAGAGGCAGGAGCTTATTACTGTGTGGTAGGAATCTCTGGCAGGCCCGAAGGACATGACCCAGAATTAAAGGTCACATCCATGGCCCAGCTGCCTCCAACTACGTTTTGTCAAAGTCTGTGAAACAATAGCCATTTACCTATTTTGGGTAATCTATAAGACTATAAAATATAAAACTTTAATGTATAGTCTAATCAAAGACAAATTTGGGTAGTACCTAGATTTCAATCCAAGTATGCTCACTTTTGCTGATCCCACATACAGTCCTGGCTTCTTTGAGCTCAGTGATACCTGTCTCTCAGTCAGCCCCCTACCTGGGAACCCTTTGACAACCCAGCCTGCTATAATATCCTGACAGGCTGCTCAACTCGAAAAAGGTGCGTGCACACGCATGCTCAGCCAATGACAACACAGTTGAGAGGTGCTTGAGGTTCACAGGGATCTACAAAGGCCCTGGAAGAGGGAGGACTGGGTTCCCAGCCTGGCTCTGTCACCAGCTTACTGTGGCCACCTATAAGGCCTTTTCTTCTCTTTACAAGATGCCATGTCCCAACCGTGAAACACAAGTAGATTAGCGGTTTTGTGTTTTCCTGAATGTGAGTGTGGAGGCCAGTGGATAGCCTTGGACGTCAGCCTCCTTAAAGTTTCAGATAGAGGAGCTCAGGGCTGGGGTCAGGGAAGGTGGGACAGGGATGTGAATCAGGACATTCTCCATCTGGACAGCATCTTACTGTTCTTCCATCAAGCAGCTGAATTTCTGTCGGGCTAGATCCAGGAGCCCGTCAACCTCACTCTTGGAACGCTTGAAGTTCTCAATGCTGAATGCATAGACAGTCACTTCGAGGATGCCCAGGTTCAAACACCAGCGCAGAGTCTGAGGCGGAAGGTAAAGAAAGAGCTAGGTAAGGCAAAGGACAAACAGGAAGAGGTAACCAATGCTTCAGCTCTGAGCAAGGATTTTTCTCCTCCCCAGACTTGAGTAAAGGTTGGGCAACTTCAGCAGTTATGTTTGAAAAGTGAGCCAACTAGGAAGAAAGTCGTCACCATTCAAGAATCTTAAAAACCCGAGGCTGGGTGTAGTGGCTCAGGTCTAGTCTTTGAGAAGCTGAGGAACAAGGATCAAGGCTAACCTAAGACTACACATTAAGATCCTTTCTAAAAAAAAAAAAAACAATCCAGGTATGTTACTCAACACTTGTAATCTGTGCTTCTGGGAGGTGGATGGCGGGAAGATCATGAGTTTAAGGTCAGCCTGGGCTATATATACTGAACTTGAGGCCATCATGGGCTACAAGAAACAATATCTTAATAAAACAAAACAGGAAGAAAAACTAAAAACTGTCAGTTTTATTTTATCCCAAAGAAGTTTTCAGCAAGAATATAAAGTCCTAGGTTTTTACCCATGACCCCATCCTAGGTTTGTAATGAGCTGTAGGCAATTATTAACCTTTCTGGGACTAAGCTCCTTTATCTGCAGGAAGGGATTACAAAGCCATCCTGAGAAGATGGCTAGGAGAGAGTGTGTGAGGCGCTGCTGCTCGGAAGGGAACGTCTTTATAATGGCAGACCAAGAGGTTGGGAAGTCGAACAGAAGCAACAACTCAGTACTTCATAGTTTGCAAAAGAGTTTCCTGTGGTTCATTTTCCAGATACGTATTCAGAAGTGAACTGTTGCTTTCATGTTACATTAAACACGACACACTAGTGGCCTCTGAAAGCTTACCCATGTCAAGAGTAACTTCTGGGAGCACTGACACAACACACACCTAGCACTCAAGAGGCTGAGGCAGGAGAACCCTGAGGTTAAGTCCAACTTGGATACATAGGGAGATGCTGTCTTTGTTGTTGGTGGTTTTTGGTTTGGTGTGCTGTGGTTTTTCAAGGCAGGTGTGGAGCCCTGGCTGTCCTGTAACTCCTTCTGTAGACCAGGCTGGCCTTAACTTAGGAGCTCCACTTGGCTCTGCTGGGATTAACGGCGTGTGTGCCACCACCTGGCCTGGCTATATTTCCTAAAACGCAAAATAAATAAACCACTGCTGGGAAAGTCGCTCAGTTGGTAAAGTATTTGCCTAGCTTGACTGAAGGCCTGGGTTAAAACCACATACAGTGGCACCGTGCCTGTAATCCTAGCACTCCCAAGTAAAGCCAAGAAGATCGGGGGTGTGGGGTGTGGGGGGTGTGTCAAAGTTACTTTTGGTTACATGGAGTTTGAGGCCAGTCTGGCTATATAAGATACTATCTCAAAAATAAATATAACCACTCATGGTGGTGTCTCAGGCTTTATACCAACACTAAGAGGCAGAGGAAGGCAGATCTCCATAAGTTTGGGGGCAGTCTGATCTGCACAGTTCTAGGCCAGCCAGGGTTATGGAGTAAAACCCTCTGTCCAAAATAAGCAAACAAACCTGGCAGTGGTCCCACACGCTTTTAATCCCAGCACGTGGGAGGCAGACCTCTGTGAGTTCGAGGCCACCCTGGTCTACAGAGCATGTTCCAGGTCAGCCAGGGCTACACAGAGAAATCTTGTCTCAAAAATCCAAAACAAATAAACAAATAAATAAGCAGCCTTTGCCATCACTAGAATATAGGTAGAAAGGCAAACATATATCTATATCTATATATAAAAAATAAAAATAGCCTCGACAAACATAAAGTCATACAATGACATGCACAATTATAAAAGTTGATTTTGACATTTGTGCATGTGTGTGGATGCATTCATGTACAGCACAAAATGTATATGAAGATTACAAAGTTGTCAGCACTGGCTCCTTCCTTCTACCACATGTGGTGCAGCCACTGAACTCAGCTAGCGCCCTTACCTGCTGACCCAGCAACTTTCTAAAAGACATTTAGTAGCAACCTGGATGAGAGATGCAATTAAAATACAATGACTAATCGTAGCAAAACACAGAAGCTTGCTAATCCTAATATTCTGTGATGGTGACAGTTGTGTGAATGCCAGGATGAGACCCTTGGGTAGCAAGCAACAAACAAAACAAGAATAAAAAACACTCAAACCACAGAAAACTCCAAGAAAACTCCATTTTTTAGCTGTCCTCTAGGTCTCCAAATCACTCGCTCCAGGCTCTGTCACCCACACCCACCTCAGCAAGCTTATTGAAGCCCTGTGCGTGGCCCTCCTGCCGCTCCACCTGGCACTTCTTGGCATAGCGACGGTTGCCGTCCATTATGAATGCAATATGTTTGGGCACTGGGCCAGCCTGTAGATGGGGATAAATAATGAACCAATTTCATTCTCTTTGGATTAAAGGGAGAACATGACATCCTTACCTAGTAGGTTTGAATGATCAGATAAAATCCCTGGGCTGGCAAGATGACTCAGTGGTACAAAGCTTCTTGCGAAGCCCAATAATTTGAGTTTGATTCTCCAGGACCTGGGCACATTCTGGAGAAGGAAAACTACTCTGGTACACTGTTCTCCACCTTCACATGTGTGCTGTGGCATGTATTTGCATTCATGTAACATACATATACATACACACATACATACATACATACATAGACAGACACATAGACACACTAAATAATTGTCATTACAGTAAGTGAAGATAAAATCTGAGAAAAGACTTGGTCTAGTTTCATTTTCTCTTGTCCAGAGTGAGCAGTTCACTGAACGTTCTCCATCCTTGAATGTTACACGTACATACTCACCCCCCTAACCTTTCCCAGCATCCCTTCCTCTCCCACCCCTTCCCCTTCCCCATCAACAGCAGTCATCTTATGCTTTAACTTCAGGTCCCCACCAACCCCACTCAGGAACAAACCGAGTGAGATTAATTTTTATGAGATGGGCTTATTTTACCTAACATGATGATAACCAGTTCCATCTACTTTCCTATGAACTACATGATTTCTTTTTCATGGTTGAACAAAGCACCACTGTGTCTGTACGCCACATTTCTAAAGCTCCACTTACTAACTGCAGAGCGCAGAGACTGCTCCTGGCAACCTGGCCACTGTGACGAGCAAGCAGTTCACTGGGCTGGCAGGCATCTGGAGGGGGCTGATTCTGATGCTTTAGAGTATACAGGAGTGACCTAGCTGGATCACACAGTCTACCTTTCATTCGCTGAAGAACTTCATACTGACTAGACTACATTCCCCTCGGCAGTGTAGGAGGGTTCTTTTGTCTGTATGTCCTTGCCAAAACCTGTTATTTTTTGAATTTTCATGAAGACGTATTCTGACTAGGGCAAGACACATTTTTTCTATAACTGTTATCAATGGTTCTTCGGCTTGCGTACATGTTTGCGTACCGCACGTGAGCCGGCACTCCCTCTGAACAGGAGATCACTTTCCTAAAACATGAGTTACTGTGAGCTGCGCAGTGGGTGCTAGGAATTGAACCTGAGCCCTCTGCATGAACAGCAAGTCCTCTTAACAATTGAACCACCTCTCCAGCTCTTTCTAACCTGATCTAAGTGTGTTTTGATTTTTATTTAGCTTGTAGCTACAGATACTAAGCATTTTTTTTTCAGGTACTTATTGACATATTTGTATATTTTTATGTTAAACCTGTTCAACTGATTTAATTCTTTTATTGATTCATTATTTTGGTCTTTAATTTTTTAAATTACATTTATTTAGTTAGTGTGAGTGTGTATGTACGTGTGTGACTGTGGAGGGCAGAAGATACTTTCTATGAGTCAGTTCTCTATAAGAAGACTGTTGTCCCAATCACTTAGGTTGGGATGGCATGGTTTAGGGAATGATTTACAAATAATGATGGTCTTGGACAAGAGAGAAACGGAATAAGAAGCTTAGACTCAGGGATTTCTACCTCTCCTTTTCTCTTCTCTATCCTTTTCTTTCTTTCTTTTCTTTCTTTCTTTCTCTTTTTTGAGACCAGACCTCTCTTTAGGCAGGAGATAGAAGGTGGGACATTAAGAGGGAAAGAATTCTACGAAAGAAGTGGGGGAGGGGTGCCGGGGGGATTTGCTGGGAAGACACCATGAGCAGGATGCATGGTACTTGAGCACAGGTGACCAGGCATGTGGCAGAATGGGGGCGAGAATAAATGGGGCCGTTTAAGTTCTATCTAGTCAGAGAAGAGCCTGGCTCTGTGGCCAAGGTGCTTATAAATACATTTTGAATCTGAATCTTGTTTCTGGAGCACAAGACAGGGAGGACGAACCAGGGCCTATTTTCAACAGTTCTCTCCTCCTGCTGTGTAGGTTGTGGGGGCCAAATCCAGGTTACCACACTTAGTGGCAAGAACCTTTATCCACGGAGGCATCTGAGCTATCTTTCACACTCATCCCTCCACTGTCTTTTGCTTTTGTCTCCTACATTTATTTTTGCCAACACGAGGCTGTTACACGTAGTTTCCTAAGGAAAGAGTTTCCATTTTCTGGCCTACTTGTGATTATTTGACATTTGTAGGCGAGTATGTGGAAATACAAGGCTTACTGACTCAAATTCATTGCTAAACACTGAGAGTCTGTATCTAAATAAATAAATAAATAAATAAAGCCAGGCTGACTGGTTTCAATCACAACCTCTCTCAAGCACAGAGTATGACATCGCTGTGATTCCTGATGGGGCCTTTGATGGCTAAGCTGGTGAAGGTACTTGCCCCAGAGCCTGATCCTGAAAGTTCTTCTCTGTCCTCTAAATGTACGCTATGTATCACCCTACCAAGATAAATAACCGAGGATCACGAGATATTGTGCTAAATTCTTTGTGTGCATACCACTTTTAATCCTCAAAAAGACATGTCTGTGAAGCCACATGGTTGGGAGATAACAGGAGTTTCCCTCATGGTTGTCTGCCTTTACAGCAGATGGTTACAGTCTAACCGTCAAAGAAACATTAACTCAGAAGACAGTACAAGGGCACTCGGATGGAAGCTCTGGGGCAGTGGTTCTCAACCCTCCTAAGTGACCCTGTAATACAGCTCCTCGTGTTGTGGTGACCTCAACATGAGAGTATTTTCATTGCTACTTTATAACTGTAATTTTGGTACTGTCATGAATCATAATGTCAATATCTGATATCCAACCCCGTGAAAGGGCTGTTCAACCTCCAAATGGACTGTGCCAGTGAGACAAATTTCTGGTCCTTCTCATTCACAGTCACAGTCTCTCTCCCTTTTTCAAACTCAGGGTCTCTCGAATACTAAGTAAACATCCTACCAGTGAGCTATTTTGAAACTCCCAACGCCACAATTCAGTTTTCCAGAAGGCAAATTTAACAGTCTGTGTGATCTAATGATAGATCCTGATTGGCCTTAAGAAAATAAGGCATTCAGTAAATAAATACTAGAAATGTAGCCCTGCAAACTACATTATAATTTTTTCAAGATTCTCTCATTCCTTTACTAAATTCCACTTCCTAGGGATTGCTGAAACTTAATAATGAACGCAATTACTCAACTATCGGAAAGGTCAACTTTCCCTCTGGGGTATGGCTCACCTTTATGATGTTGGCACAGAACCGTTCCCAAAGAGACAGCTCTCCTTCTTTGATCCATGACATAGTTCGTGCTATGTCAGAAATCACACAAGAACAAAAAAACCAGCCAGATAACCTTGAATAAATTAAAAGAGAGAGAGAGAGAAGTCATCTGTGCTTGCAATAAATAAAACTGACTGAAGAGACTGACGGACTGTGACAAGCAGCACGCGTCTGAATCCAGAGACTGTTCTAATCCACTCAGGCCTCTAAAGCCAACGGGAGTCTTTTGGGACATGGTGGTTTCCATTTTCTTATCCTTCTTATGTGCACTGATTTCTTCCAAATATCCTGCCACATCATGGTACCCACATCTTGGTCAATCCCCGCAACTTCCTTCTCTATTGCCCGGCAATCCATTTCTCACCCTGGGCTGACCAATCACTACCTTCCTTGGCTGTCGCATCTGTTACCTCGATGGCCACTCTCCCGGCCGGACTTGAGTGTCTCCCGCGGCTAACTCCACATCCAGTTTTCCCACCTCTGGGTCTCTGTTTTCACTCCGCACCAAGGACGCCGGAGAAGGCGCTTTTCTACCACTTCGAGGCGACTTACGACTTGGCGCTGGAAGAACACGTCACCTCTGTGAGTTTGGACACGCCTCCTCCGTCCGTGGTGGGCGGGGCCGCGCCCTGCGCCTGCGGACTCGGGGGCGGAGCGGTGCGAGATCTTGCGAGTTGGCTATTGGTAGCGGCTCTCGCGGGGCGTGGAAACAGCGCCTGGAGGGCCGAGGTCACGTGAGCGATACTGCTGCCGCTAGGGTCGCCTGATGCAAACCGTGCTTGTTAGGCGAGAGTCCAGCCTAATGGCCTGAGAAGAGGTCAGCCCACACATGCTGTGTGGCCTCGGGTAATTGTGGCAGTTTGTTACGGAGAGAGAATGTGGTAACCCCACCTCAAAAATGAGTTTCTCTATGTTTGATCGCAATGCTTGCATTTTGGGAGACACGGTAACATCGAATTATGATAATCCTCCTGCCTCAGTCTCCCAGCTGCTGATGATATGGACGTAAACCATGGAAAAGTGAACTGCGTTTCTTTAAAATTTTGTCTTAAAAATCGTTCTTTTAGCTGAAACTGGTGGCGCGTCGTCACTGAACTCAGCACTCAGAAGACTGAGGCCGTGAGGATTAATGTCTTTTCTGCTACGTAGTAAATTTAAAGTCAGCCTGATCTACGGGATAGTCTCTTCAAAAAATTCTAACGTGTTTTCACTTGTCGCCTTTTAATGCTGTTAATTCATTGGAAAGGTTTCTTGCTCTAGTCATTTTGGGGGGGGGGGTATTTAAAGCATCCCGACTTTATAATTTGCAGATTCCGAAGACTCACGTTAATGAACAAGACAGAAAGAGCTTTCTCTTAGGACTTCCAAAATCACAGCCCAGAGCGCTGGGGAATATAAGCCTAGTGGTAGAGTGCTTGCCTAGCTTGCCAGAAGCCCTGGGTTCAGTTTCCAGTCCAGCCTAAAAAAGCACGGTGCCAGTGAAGGCAGGACAATCAGCAGTTTAGATCACCTAGGGTGACTGAGGCTAGCATGGCCTACACAAGAAAACTCAGCCTCAAAACTAAACAAAAATAGACTCAATCTACAACACTTGTGGAGAGCTTTTTGGGGCCTAGCAAGAAATCAAAAGCATTAGCTGAATAGCCAAGTCTTGAAGGATGTTTAGACACTGAATAGAACAAAATTGAGCCTAGACTTAGCTCCTCAAAAGTATTATCCATTGCCTTCCCTTTTATTGTATTTAATGATACCGGGAAGAAGCTGTTCTGCTTTCTCAAAAAAAAAAAAAAAAGCCCAAAAACTGAACTTTCGGTATCTGATGCAACTAGCATTTCTTTCAAATCATACTTCTCTCTGTAAAAGAATTTCACAATTCCAACGAACCTTTTTTTTTTTTAACCTCATTTTTCCCTGTGGTCTCAATAACACAGGGTAAGATGTCACCTGTTCAGTTTTACCTGTGGAAAGCACAAAACGTGACTCAACAAAGCTGTGGAGATGAATGCCCCATTCATCAGTTCTCACACTTGGATTTCCTTTGTGAGCTGTGAAGCTTCTGCTAATAATGCCATTTCTCAGGAAGGCTCTTAGCTCCCTGAAGCCTAGTAGTTAGTGCTGCTGGGTTTTAACTTTTGGTGCAATTAGTTCAAGGGTCACAAACCCCCTGCTCTGGTAACAGTTTGAAGATTTATTTAATCCACTTTCTGTTAATACTTAGGTTTCCCCCCATCCCCCGCCCCTCCCTGAGAAAAGTCTTCCTGCTATTTTCGAGAATGTTTAAGCACTCTCTAGAAAGTTAGCAAACTGTATCACAAAATAATGGTTCATAGTCGGGGAATCTCCTTTGGCCTCAATTTCCCCAGTTCTGTAAGGTACTTTCCTTTTGGGGGGTGTTGCAAGGGGTTAATTAGGATTTGTAAAGGCTTTGAGGAGTAAAGGACAAAGTATTATTAGGGTCTCATGCCCTAAGCCCTGGCCCCAGCCTTTCATCCCAGCAGAGGCATAGGCTTCCCCATTCTTATGCATGCCAGGCCTCTAATCCCCTCTTGAATGTGGCAGCTTCCAAGGAAGGGACAAGAGGCCTTAACTAGAAACAAAAATCCAGTGTAATGAGGTGCTCCAAGGGCTGAACTTTCAAGATTCATCCCTAACAAAGTGGGAAGGGGAAAACTGAATGATCCCGTGACTTCCCAATCCGCCGTGGGGATTATGAGATGAGAAAAGCATCCGAAGTATCTGATGAGAGAACAGTACCAATTTTGGAGTACCAATAAGTCTTTATTTTCCCAGGGAAGAGAAGGGAAGGTAAAGTCAGCATGTGTTACAAACAAAATGATTATAGGAATACAAGTACCTGGGTATAGTAAAAAAAAAAAAAAAAATCAACCATGAAATAAAACACCCCAGGGGTGGGGTCACCAAAACCCCAGAGGGGGCTTAGTCTCCTGCAGTTCAGGAAAGAGATCAGGGAAAGGACAGACAAGTACACCCTTTCCCACCCTCCCCATAAATTCAAGATTTCTCACAAAGCTTTGGTTTCTAGCAGTAAACATGGAGATACATTCGTCCGTCTCCTAGTAACAATCTTGTGGCCTCTTTGACATAAGTTTCTTGCACCGTGGCATTAAGTTCCTGAGTGACTCGACTGTACATTCATAGTCCCTTTTCTGGTCTCCAGATCCCACTTTCTACATGGAAGGCCCCACAATTGCTTCTGTCTACCTAAGGGTGACAGATTATGTTTGTTCGATCTGTCCAAAGGTGAATCACACCATGAAATGGTCTTGCCAGGGAGAAGTGGTTCACCTGCAATCCCTGCACAGAGGAGTCTAAGACAGGAGGATAGCCAGGAATCTGAGGCTGTCTCCGGATACAAAGTGAGACCCTGTCTCAAAACCACCAACCAAAACTCTTCACTGAGTCAGGGAACAACGGGAGAGAGAGGTTCATGGCCTCTTCAGAATTTTTACTTTGGGTCATTCAAGAGTTGTAGAGATGCCCAAAGAAATAAATGTGTTTTCTTATGAGGGAGAAGAAGGGCTGTCTCAGGTCATTGTGGTCCAGAATGGAAGATGGGGAGGAGCACGGAAGGGAAAGTCATGGTCCCAGTGGTTCATTTTGAGGACCCCCCATTTAGGTTTCAGATGGTGTTGTCTGGTGCAGAACTTTCTGTCAAAGATGCTTTGGCTATTTTTCTCTCAATACAACAAAAGTTTTGTAAACAATAAAACCCCAAAAGAACATGAAGACCAACACATTTATATTTACACAACTAGGCCACCTAGCAATCATCAACTCAGAGACAGCAAAGTCCTACAAAGGCCAGACGAATATAATTAACTAAGGGTGGGGGCAGCATTTGGGGGAAACAAGAAACCAGGATCGGACACATACACCAACCCAATGTGTTCTATTGCATTTGTCCCGTTTCAACACAGTGAGGTAGGTTTGTGTCGGGTCTCAAAGCATGTAAACGAAACTCCCCCACTTCTTTCCTTTAGCTATCAACCATCACAGGGCAGGACACTTGCCACAGAGGCCCACACTCTTGAGTCTCTCTGGAAGCCAAGATTGTGAAATGCTAAGGATTAGAGCCCCCGCCTCACGTTCCATGCCTGGACACCAGAGTGTGGGAATAAGGGTATTGGTCTGAAATTGCATCCTTACCAGGATAACTCAGTGGCAGGGTACTTCCTAGCACAAATGAAGCCCAAAGTTTGATTCCCCAGTATCAAAAAACAATCAAACAAACAAAACACCTCATCCTCATAAATTTGCATCAAAAAAAAATCAACACACACACACACACACACACACACACAAACACTCACACCCTGCTGTGCATGGCAGGCTTAGACTAATCTGGCAAGCGGATAGATTTGGTAAGGAAAGTTACTCTTGCGCCTTTCTCCTGGCCCAGCCTTTTAATGTCTCTGTACCACCCTTTCCTGCTTAGACTGATTTTCTGTGTTTTGCCAAAACCAGATCAAGTCTTGGGGCAGCTCAATTAAAACCTGTGAGACATTTTCCAAGGACGCTATGGCAGAAAAGCCAGCTGTCATCAGCAAAAATGAGGTAGTTCAACAGGCTGTGGACTCCAAATGGTTGGTCTCCATGGTGATCAAAACAAAAAAAGAGTATTCCTGCTGTGCAGACCTGGAGCTGCTACGGACTTATCCCTGAGATTGCTCATGTACCTGAGAACACAGTGCAGGAATGAGGGCCTTAAGATTAAAATATACAAAAATACAAACCCAATATTTATATTAAGAAAAAAAAAACGCACAAGATACGTCATTCGCACGTAGATAGTGCAGTTGGCATCCTGGAGAAAGTGGGACCCAAGGTGCAGTTACCCAGGGGAGCAAATAAATTAAAATCCCATTGGCCCAGAAAGGGCTGGGAGTGAGGCGGGAGCAGCAGGCCTGCAGTTGTCCCCCCAGCCACCCTTGGCCTGTCATCACAACCCGCTGCTAGAGACCATCCCCAGCACATCGTAGGACTGGGTTTTGAGTAAGCATGGTATGAAAATCTCCTCGCCTTGCTCCTGAAGAGTCCCTTCCACAGAACATAGTAGCTGGAGGATTAGGGTCATTAATCTTGACTTCACACTTGTTTCGAATCCTGTCTGGCAAGGGAAATATCACATGGCCTTCTAAAAAAGAAGAACTTCCCTATCCCAGCTACTTGGCAAAGCATGTTAAAGTCTCAGATAAAGTATGCAGGTACTAGGGTGGCTCCCCCACAAAAGCCCTCACTTGCTTTCGGATAGAGCCGGGTAGGAGTTCCTTTGTCTCACCCTTTCCCTCCCTCCAAGGAAAGACAGGGTGACACTGGGAACCCCGGCCTGAGACATGGCAGTGCAAGCTACCAGTGCAACCCACCCTTATCCCCACTTTCTCCACTCTGCAGATTGATGCCTCCTCCCTGAAAACTCCCCATTAGCCAAAGAATAACCCTGACTCCTGGGCCTCAATTCTGGGCTTCTGGAAGCAGGGCAGGACTGTGGATCTCTTCCTCTTCCTCCCGGAAGTAGGCAGGCTTTCCCTGAGAACTGGGGCCCTGCTGGGCCT